AGAGACCTGAAAAAGTTATCTGTGGAATGGAATGGAATGGAATGGAATGGGGCTTGGAGTTCTTCTAATCCAGCCCCTTGCACAAGCAGAAGACCCTATACCATTTCAGACAAGTCTCATCTTAAAAACCTCCAGTGATGAAGTACCAATAACTTCTGAATTTCTTCCACCGCTGCTTCAAGATAGAATTGTTTTCTCAGACAGAACTGTGTTACATATTTGTTAACCTAGGGTCCCAGAGCAACAACTATATTTAGAAAACATACACCAGACGGGTCTTTGGAGTGGATCCTGCCCTGTGTACTACTCCTTTATAAATAAAATAATAGCACAATTCTTTGTTGGTTTGGAATTCAGGCCCATCATGAAAGTGGGCAGAGCATTGCAGCTGTCTAGATTTTTTTAACTTAATTTCATCCTTAGATGTGATGAAAAGAAAGAAAAGTTGATTCACTAATAAATACAGTACTGAGAACTGCAGTAAATGTATAGGCTTATCCTTTGGGAACAACTTACTGATAGTGCCAGCAGAGTTTGATGCGAACAAAGCAAGCACTAAGCTGTGGAAAATCCCTGTTGCATCTGTTTTAATGCTGAGATTTGCGTGAGAAGTTAAATGTAGAGTTCTCAAAATATACTTTGTGGTTTCTTGGAGATTAAAATTGTATAATAATAAAAGGAAACATGATAATAATAATAAATACTGCACAAAGCAGCTTCAGGAGAGCCTCTAAAATGTTTCTTCAAAAAATTTTTGCTACTGTAATCTGGATAAACATGAAATGGGATGATAGTATTTCTAGAACCTACTCTTTGATTAGCTGTTGATTAGATTGTGATCAAAACACATTGCAGGAGCAGTCTGATTAATAATATTTATTATCCATCAGTGTACATAAAGTGGATGGAGCAAGCAGTATCTATGGAAGAACGAGAAGATGTAGCTAATCCCTTGTAAAAATTCTTCCTGGCTCCAAAATAAATGGGCAAATGATCTCTCTTTCTTAAATAAAGTGCCTTTTAAAAAAAGTTATAAAGTTGTTCCTCTATTATTAAACATGGTGCACTTGGTTTTTCCTCAAGGTAATCTTGGAAAAATGGAATGTATCTAGCATTCATTCTTTGGCTGCCAGAGTTGCTGCTTCCCACTTAAGATTGTGTGTTATAGCATAAGTGCTGTATTTGAAAGAGTGTCTTTTACCTGGCTTTAATTCAGAGGAAAAGATACACAGGTCTACCATACATAATATTTATTAAGCCGAGATTTACTTCCAATTTCTTCTTTAATATTACTACTTGATAAAAAAAAACACAATGGTACTCTTTAATGCTGTCATGATCCATGTGTCTTTCTTCCCTGTGCTTGCTTTGTGTTCACTGGTTTTTTAGGACCAGAAATCCTCACTATTACTTCTCCTTCTTGTTTTGACATTCATAAAAATTTTCTCATGACTTAATTAGTAATGTCAAGGTTTGATCTCAGACTAACTTTATCCAGAGCATATGCTATATCACTGAGGTATGGCCCTACTCTCACTGTAATTCTATCCACATGAGCAACTTCCTCTATACACATAATCAGGTGGATATATCTATTTAACAGATAATCCCTTCATTCATTTAGGTGCTGCTCTGGGAAATTTCTGATCTCTTAGAATTTTTTTTTAAAGATGAGTTTTGCTGGTGATGGAAGTGGGAATATAAAAAGCCAGCATGTCCAGACCAATGTGCTTTCTTATTTTATGTTCAAAGTCTACAGTTAAAATCTGGTCTTCCATATACTGTGTTCCTCTATTCACCATTTTTGTTAGCACCTGGTTGCATTTTCTGCTCCTTTTCAAAATGACTGTTATTGACTTAATATATCTCAGCAACTCTGTATCACTGTTGACATTTAATTTTCAGTTAAATCATTTTAATTAAAATCTGGCATCTTTCAGCATGGTAATGAAAATGGCCTGGAATTACGGTCGCAGATTGCATTTGTGTGAATTTATGAATTTGTTTCAAGAAAATGAACTTTACATTAATTCCTGTAGCAGTAGTAGCTTGGTTAGAGGGAATGCTTTCTTGGAGAGAGGACTAAAGTTTCTAATACTATTACTGATATATTAGATGTGGAAGCAAAGTAACTGATGATGCTTATTCATCTATATTAACTGTGTTTTCATTGATTGAGCTTATGCTATGCTTCAGCCAAAAATGTTGTTATTCAAATAATTAAGTACCTCTTTAGTGCTGAGTCACCAAGTCATTATCTGACTGCATTATCTGAATCATCTTGCCCCACTCGCTACATTTTACAGTATGTCACATTCTCTCACAATTTGTTGGCTACTTTTCCTATCAATGTTTTAAAAAATCAAATGAGAAAGGTAAAGATAGATACCTATTCAATGGCTTTTGGTTGGTAGCTCTTTTATAATCTGGACTATCCAAAGAAAAATTTTAGGAATACATAAAGAACCAATCCTAAATTTACTTAAATATAGCATTTGCTTAAGTTTAAAATAAATCTCATCAATTTAATTAGGGATTGAGAATATAAATAGGCTGTATATCCAAATCAACAAAATAAAAATACTACTATGTACACATCAACCACTTCTATATTCTCCCTCTCCCCATGGTTCTTTAAATAGATGTAAAGTACTGATAATCTGTATTTTCTGTGGAAGAAGCTGTGTTCACATATTTGCATTTCATATATAAATGTCTTCAGCTTTTCTTTGTTTTCTGTTGGGCAGATTTTTACTGAACTGGCAGAAATATAAACAACTTTAAAGTACATTTTTGTGCATGCCTCGGCATTTTATTTTTAAAAAAATGAACACTGGATTGTCAATCTTGCACTACTTATACAGTGATTATCAAAGTGAACACAAAGAAACAATTGTACGTTTAAAAAATAATCTATTCTCATGCAATGTTTTCTCTTTATCCTCATGACGAATTCTATTATCACCCAAGGAGAAACTTACAGTCAAGTTTCTCTGTTTTTCCCCATTGGTTACTTCTTTTTTCTTTAAAAAGATGGTGCTTTGGACTGTCAAAAGCCATTTCAAAAACAGTGTTCTATCCTGCTATATACTGGATGAACTTATGGATGCTCCAGTAAAGGCTTTCACCCAGTGTTACAAGAGATGTGGTGAATTACCTTGTTCATAAGTAGCTGGGATTTTTTTCTTCTTGCAGGCTCAGCTGTCCCTGATCTGACTATTGTGTAGACTCCGCTCTTCCACCTGTCTTCCAAGTTTTGTGTGGGAGGCCTTATAACCTTACAGGTGCACTACATAGAGGAGCTGTGCCAGTGTCTTGCTTTCCAAAAACTTCAGAACAGATAGCATTCCTCTAATATTCAACACACAACTTCACCTCCCTATTGAAGTGCTCTACGGTTGAACTTCCCTTTTTCTCAGATATATCCCAAGGTCATTTTTTTTTCTCACTTTCAAAAGATCTGAAGAATTTCTTTGCTATCTCCAAGGCTTTATATTTTGGGAAAGAATAACAGAGGTGTTTCTTTCTTGCTCTCTTCCTTTTAATTTAAGCAGTTTTATGATATTGCTTCCCCTATTAAAAAATGTAGCAAATTTAAAGAAGGGTGCCACTCTATTTCCTTGGCATCTTATTTAAAATAAGCACACAAGAAAGACGATCAGATGAGGGAAACCAAAATATTACATTTGCAAGAACTGCATAGTGCCTTCCAAAAGCAGATGGCAAGTAACTCTTATTCCATGGGAAATGCTGAAAAGGTATCAAATAAAGTAAAAGTGAGTCCTAATTCAAATTCATTGAACTGCATTTTTTAAAATGCAGTATTTATTTATGCTGTCCAAGTTTCCATTGATTAGGAAATTGGGAATCAATATTCATATATAAAATGATAAACACATTTAAAAAAAAACATACTCTCACTACCATAACTAAATACCAAATTACTTGATGCCTTTTTCCCTTATGGATAATATATTCACCAAAATACAGATAAAGCCAAAATAATCTGGCATGTATGATAGGGTTAATAGGCAATAGAATAGCTGGTTAACAAATTATTGCACTGAATGCTTAGTATTAGAAATACAGATAACCACAGAGCAAGGTGTACTAAAATTGTTTTGATAGGGCACTTCAGTTCCTAAACCTGCCATCTGTCAATCATTCCATTTGTGCTTCAGTGTTAACTCTTGCCCTTTGTATAATTGATATATATAATTTGAATCCATAGGTCCCATTAATTTCAGTACAGGTAGTTCTTGGCTTATGTTTATTATCAGTGAGCATTGAGGGTTACAGTGGTGCAAAAAAAAATGGAGGTATCACTGGTTCCTGAAGTTCTGGCCATTGTAGCACCTCCAAGGTCACTTGATCATGATTTGGGTGCTTGGGTGCCCAACTCACTATTATGCCATTGCAGGGAACCATATGATCGCCATTAGTGACCTCCAATTCCAGCTTCCCACAAGCAAAGTCAATAGAGAAGCTAACAGGGAAGGGTACACGTCACTCTGAAAATTTGCTCCTATTTTTTCCTCCTACTTACAGCAGCCTGCTGCTGGCATGCGGCTGTGCTGGCCCTCTCCCAGTCTCTTCCACTCTCCTGCTTCTTCTCCTTCCCACAGCATCCTCCCATCTGCACAAGGTATGTGCTGGCTCTCCCAGGCTCTCCTCTGACCCTCCCCTCCATGTCATCTCACCTGGAGCTCCTCTCTCTTTCCAGTTAATGATTTGGGGTTATTATGGCAGCTGGGACTGAATGGGATTGCTGTTGCTAAGATATGCAATCACATAACCTGAGGACTACCTATATGATACTTCAATATAATGATTATAATACATACAGTAAAATACTTAGCATAAACATGAATTGTAATTTATATACCAGTTGCCACCATGATTTTTTTCTTTATTATAATTGTTACCTTTATGTTTTTATTTTATTTATAGTTTGCCATGTGACCAAAAAGCACTGATCTTCTTTTTCTTTTCCTTGACAGGATCCTTCAAAATGTGGACGCAAAAAAACAGTCTCCTTCAGCAGCATGCCCTCAGAAAAGAAAATAAGTAGTGCAAGTGACTGCATTAGCTTCATGCAAGCTGGCTGTGAACTGAAGAAAGTCCGGCTAAACTCTCGTATTTATAATAGATTTTTTACTCTTGACCCTGATTTACAGGCACTTCGCTGGGAACCCTCGAAAAAGGATTCAGAGAAGGCAAAACTTGATATTTCTGCAATTAAAGAGATCAGATTAGGGAAGAACACAGAAACATTCAGAAACAATGGACTTGCAGATCAGATTTCTGAAGACTGTGCCTTCTCCATAATTCATGGAGAAAATTATGAATCTCTAGACTTAGTTGCCAATTCAGCAGATGTTGCCAACATTTGGGTGTCAGGTTTACAATACCTGGTTTCTCGTACTAAGCAATGTTTGGATTTAATAGAGAGCAGCCAAAATACTCCACGGTTTGCTTGGCTTACATCTGTATTTGAAGCTGCAGATGTTGAAGGCAATGGGATTATGTTGGAAGACACAGTTGTAGAATTAATAAAACAGCTGAATCCAGCCTTAAAAGAATCCAAAATCAGATTAAAATTTAAAGAAATTCAAAGAAGCAAAGAGAAACTAACAACTCGTGTAACAACAGAAGAATTTTGTGAAGCATACACAGAGCTTTGTACAAGACCTGAAGTTTATTTTTTGCTAGTACAAATATCTAAAAATAAAGAGTATGTAGATGCCAAGGACCTCATGCTTTTTTTAGAAGCTGAGCAAGGGGTTTCAGGTATCACTGAGGACATTTGCCTTGATATCATTCGTAGATATGAATTTTCACAGGAAGGGCAGTTGAAAGGTTTCCTTGCAATTGATGGATTTACACAATATTTGCTGTCTCCAGAATGTGATATTTTTGATACCACACATAAAAGGGTTGTTCAAGACATGACCCAGTCTTTATCACACTATTATATTAATTCATCTCACAATACCTATCTGATAGAAGACCAGGTTCGAGGGCCAGCAGATATCAATGGCTATATCAGGGCACTGAAAATGAACTGTAGAAGTATCGAACTGGATGTTTGTGATGGGCCAGATAATGAGCCCATCATTTGTAACCGTAATAATAGGGCATCACTTTTGTCCTTTAAATATGTAATTGAAATAATCAACAAATTAGCCTTTGTTTCTTCAGAGTATCCTCTTATTCTCTGTTTGCAAAACCACTGTTCCATACAGCAACAGAAAACCATGGCTGAACATATGAAGAAGACTTTTGGGACCAAACTCTACACAGATGTACCACTACCATCAGAGATGTATCTACCATCTCCAGAGAAACTGAAAATGAAGATTATTATCAAAGGAAAGAAATTGCCTTATGGTAAGGATTTATTAGAAGGAGAAGTCACAGATGAAGATGAAGAAGCTGAAATATCTCGCAGAAAGTCTGAAGAGTATTTAGGGGATCCGAAAATGTCCTGGCTATGCAAAGAGCTTTCTGATCTTGTAACTATATGTAAATCAGTCCAATTCAAGGATTTTGAGAACTCAATGAAAAAGCAGAATTATTGGGAAATGTGTTCCTTCAGTGAAGGAGAAGCCAGTAAAATTGCAAATGAATGTCCAGAAGACTTTGTCAATTATAATAAGAGATTTCTGTCCCGAATATATCCAAGTGCCATGAGAATAGATTCCAGTAATGTAAACCCACAAGACTTTTGGAACTGTGGTTGTCAGATAGTGGCAATGAATTATCAAACACCTGGGCCAATGATGGATTTACATACTGGATGGTTTCTACAGAATGGGGGTTGTGGTTATGTCCTTCGACCTTCTGTTATGCGAGAAGAAGTGTCTTACTTCAGTGCAAACACAAAAGGCATCGTCCCAGGGGCTTCCCCACAAGTTTTACATGTCAAAATCATCAGTGGACAAAACTTTCCAAAGCCTAAAGGAGCCTGTGCCAAAGGGGATGTCATAGATCCTTATGTCTGTCTAGAAATCCATGGCATACCCGCAGACTGTACAGAACAGAGGACTAAAACTGTTCAGCAGAACAGTGATAATCCTATTTTTGATGAGAGTTTTGAGTTTGAGATCAACTTGCCAGAACTTGCCATGATCCGTTTTGTAGTCTTGGATGATGATTATATTGGTGATGAATTCATAGGTCAATATACAATCCCCCTGGAATGTTTACAGTCAGGCTATCGACACATACCTCTGCGCTCCTTTATAGGGGACATCATGGAGCATGTTACTCTTTTTGTGCACATTGCAATAACTAATCGGAGCGGTGGAGGGAAGCCACAAAAGCGTAGCCTGACGGCTAGAATGGGAATGAAAACTAGAGACTATACTATGCTGAGGAACACAAGTCTTAAGACTATAGACGATATCTTTAAGCTAGCAGTACATCCATTGAGAGAAGCAACTGACCTGAGGGAGAACATGCAGGTAAGGAAAACTGAGTCTTTTTTAATTTTCATAACTGAAAGCTTGGTTTAACAAAGTATCATATGAAATATATATATATATATTATTGCCATTCCTGGTTATTAGGTTTTTTTGATAGCTACCAGAGTATTACAATCACCATTAGTAAAAATTGTACTGGTTAAGTTCAAAGAAATTGCAGTCTGTAATTTCTATTTTTACAGTGTCAAAAAATTGAAGCTTAGGATTTTTTGCTTGTCTTGAAGTTGGAGGCTTTCAATTTCTCCATGTTATTCTTACTCTCCTGAATTTTTCTGCAACAATGAGCTAGTTTATTATTTTTAAAGTGCTCCTCTGTGGCTGAGAAATTGGATTACAATACACTATTATTTGAAAGGCATTGTTTAGACACTTCTGTATATAATTCTTATAATAGCCTTCCCATTTTTCTGGAAGAGATGCACAATACTAGATAATATAATTGTGTGTATGAGAGAGGGAGGAAGAGACATTCATACTTTTGGTGCTGTCCCATGAATTCAGAATTCTAGAAACTAGAACATATTACTAATTGCAGAACACTGTTATTCAGAGAATATTATTATACTTACAAATCCATAAACAATTATAAACCTGTACTTTAAGAGTAAATCCCCTTAAATACAATGAGATTACTTTTGTATAATCAAGTTTGTAATATTAAACTCTTCTGAGCTTTTATCTTCTCAGTTCCCAGTTATACACGGACTTGCACGTATAAATGTCTTTTTAAAGCATCAATTCAATTGTTTAGATAAGCTGTTTCCTCTTAATTTTTCATTTTAAGATATTTAGAAAACAAGGCTTTACTTGTAGAAGAGTCATGGAACATTTCCCATCACAGGAGTAAATACAGTATATTAGCAATATGTTTAGTTACTGATATATAATTTTTTTCTCCCACAGTATGTAAACTTTAGTGATTTATGATTGGAGACCAAATAAAAAATAGCAATGTGACATACAATATAAAACAAACAAGACAGATTTGTGACAGAATGTTAAGATTGTTCTGGGCAGCCCCTCTGCTAAATGGTAACCAGGCCCCATACCTCCTGGTGGTAACATTGCATCTTTTCTGGAAATTTTTGGTGAGAGATTGGAAAGTAAGAAGCAGGTAACTTCCATACTTGACCAATTCATACAGTAGGAAAGGTGGGAATATAAACTCTGCACACCAAGTACAGAGAAGGAGACAGTGGAGTATGACAAATGTTCCTGACTTAGTAGTGATAATGACATCCGAACAAATACAAAAATGGATGCACTTAAAGCTTTTCATTACCAATATAGAAGGTAAGGGGGTTAAATCATGCAAGCGTGAAGTACTCTTCTGGGTAAAAAATGTATTGTTCTGTAGATGCAGACACTTAAAAGACTGGAAATGAACTGTAACCATCATAATCATTAAAAACGGTGACATCTAACCATATACCAGGAATTTTCATGTGAAGCTGACTCAAGAAAAGATTTTAATTGTGCAACAAACTGGTTTTAAGTCAGGCTTTTTGATTTGGGGGAAATGCATCAACATTTTGGGGGGAAATGCTGCTTCTCCCACGAGCTGCTCAGAGCATCCAGTAATGGGAGGTGCTTCAGTCTCTGCTTATCTAGGCTGGGCTTAATTTGCGGAACGCTCCTCCTCCTCCACGGGACTCCTCCCCAGCATTCCCCAGTTTTGGCTCAGCCTTGAGAGAGATAGGCAGTGCTTCTCATTAATCCTTGGCTGAAATAGGAGAATTCTCTTTAAGGTTTGACAGATAGTCGATTGTTCTTTTCTAACCAATGCTGCCCTTGACATCTGGCCGTTGGGGATCGCATTACCAGGAAGTCCTCCTAAGCGCAGGCAGGCTTCATGCGCATTTCGCCCCCCCCAACCGCTAGCCCTACCCTTGCCATTACAATCGCCGAGCCACTTTATTATTTAAACGGCAATTATTTTTCTCTCTCGTTCCTTTCTGAGTCGTATCGCTGTTTCTCCTTTCCCCCAAGAACGCCGTTTAGGGGTGGAGGTGTAATCGCCTCGTTATTCCACCCCTCCCCACCAGTTTAGCCCTAAGGGAAGACAGTTGGAACTTATCTCTTTTTCTTGGCGGGAGATTGCTGCTAGCGCACGCGCCACAAATAATGTCCGGTCGCCATTTTTTTGTTTTTTTACTGTCAAAGGACCGCATGGCTGCGTTGAGTGCTAATTCAATAGACTGTGTGAGGTAATCCTTATTCCAGATTGAAGGGTTTTTTTCCCCACAAAATACCCTGAGGAATCATTACAACCTCGTTTTCAACATATTCGAGGTTTTTGTTAATTCGTGTTGTTGGCTCAACCCTCACAGTTCTTCCTATCCAGCGGCACAACAGCGAGCACCTAGGCCAGCGTCCGCCTGTGCAGGGAAGCTGTTGAAGAGTTATTTGGCCTGCTAGGCGTTCTCAATTTGGCTGATTGGGACAATCAAATTTGATATATATTTGCACATACGTTCTGATAATATTAATCACACCAATATAATAATACTGTCAACTTCATAACAATAATAAATGCATTGTTGAGATACGACTCAATTTTGAAGCAGATATCCATATTTAAAAAATAATAATAATAAAAAAAAAGAAAATACGGGGGATTTGATTTCAGGGCACCCTGTCCATTCTTGGCCAGGTCCCTGGGCATGCCAACCGCCTACACAATATAGCATTAAATAATGAGCATACTGGTCCTTCCATAATCACAATGGCAGGGGGTAATGGTTCACACTCCTCAACTTCAAGGGACAAGTCCAAATCTCAACACAATCCTAAGCAAAAAAAGGGGGACTTCTAAGGCATCAGAAAAGGATGCCAATAGGCACCACAAGGCTCTGGAAAAACAAATAGATAAGTGCACTCGGGAGGCACACAGGACCTCTCAAGCCTTTTCACCACACAGTCCAGAGCCGTCCTCCTCTTTCCTCCCTCCTACCCCCCTAGATCTCTCCCTCTCATCCAGGCGCAGCGTGGCTCCACTGAGTCAACAGGTCCAGTCAGCTCAACCACCAACCATGCGAAGAATACCCAAAGCGACGTTCACACCAATGGCTGCCGGTCTTCGACAGGAACAATCTCTTCCAGAGGATGTGCCAGAGTGAATGAAGACCTGGATGGAGATGGCTATCCGTCAGGGAATCGCAGCAGGCCTGCAACATGCGGTTCTGACCAGGGATCACCCCGCACCAGCTGAGTATGATTCGCAATCAGTTCGGTCATTGGCCAGGTCGGAGCTACACTATACCCAGGTACAGTGTCAAGGGGGTATGCTCCTACAGGAACCGCAGGAGGAGGAGCAGGAGGAGGAGGCTGAAGAGATGGAACACATTGAACACATGGACCAGAGTGAATCAGAATCAATGCATGATACTGACCCGGCCATGTCGGAAACAGACCCCTTACAAAGGGGGATGTTTGAGGATGAGGGCCTCGCTCCCGACCAACCTGTATTTACAGGCTTGTTCTGGCCACAACTTTTCAAATCTCTATTGTTCAAGGCCAAAAATACTGCGCAACTGGACAAGCCGGCCTCTTCTACCACTCCAACTCCATCAGACGAGGGACCAGAGGATCTCATTTTCACCCAACCTGTTCTTGAGGCAGACGTGATTCCAGTCCCCTACATGTTTGCAGACCTGGTACAGAAACAGTGGGCTTCTGCAACAGCGTACCCAGCCCCCACTGCTTATGACAGGAAATTCTTTAATTTGGCTCCCGATTTCTTAAAATTGTTGAATACTCCTGAGGTAGATGAACCCATTGTGGGATTAGCGTCCTCGTCCTCCATTCCCAGTGAGGCACTGGAGGCATTAAAGCCGGAGGACAAACGGGCCGAGCTAGCCCTACACAGGGCCCATCAGTGATGCATGGACCATCAGAGCAGCCACGGCCGCTTCCTTCTTTACCGGTTCTTCCCTCAGATGGCTCCGGCTATTACGGGAGCATGTCCCCAATTCCAATACTAGAGCACACCAAGACATTGCAAAGCTGATAGCAGCCGCCGAATTCTCAGCTGAAGCAACCTTTCATGCAGTTAAGTTCACATGTCACAGCGCGACGTTTGCTATGGTTAAAGAACTGGCAAGTGGACATTAAACATAAATGCAAGCTTACTTCATCTCCTCTAGCGGGAGACAGACTGTTTGGCCCTTCCCTCGATCCGCTACTCATTGAGACTCGAAATAAAAAGAAAATTTTACCCTCCCTTTTTCGGAGGTCAGACCCTAGAAACCCTCAGTCCTTTCGGAGGGGATCCTTTCGGCCCTTTTATCAGGGACCGCTCTCAACCAGATACCAGAGATCCCCACCTTTCCGACCAGGGCAACAGCCAGAGAGGTCAGACTTTGGGGATAGGAACAGAAGGGGTGGCCAACCCAAGAAATCCTTCCGAGGAGTGGGACATAGATTTTTCTGGCATCCAAGATAACCCCATGGACCCGCCTTCCATTGGCGGCCACCTTAAATTATTCGCGAACCAATGGGACTCCTCAATGTCTGATTCCTGGGTCAGAGACACGATCAGATTCAGCCTCGCGCTGGAGTTTCAATCCGCTCCCCCAGATTTCTTTATGTTGTGCCCTCTTTCCAGAGATCCGGTTAAACGAGATCTTATGGAAACAGCTATTCAGCACTTACTGGACATACGAGCCATCCAACCAGTAGCTACCGACCAATGAGGATGAGGTTTCTATTCACATCTTTTCGTTGTTCCCAAAAGTTCAGGGGGGTGGAGAGCAATCTTGGATTTGAAACACCTTAATCAATTTTTAGTATATCACAAATTTAAAATGCACACCCTACAATCTATCTTACTTGGTATCAGAAAAGGTGACGTCCTTACATCTATAGATCTGACGGAGGCGTACTTACATATTCGAATTCGTCCTTCCTACTATAAATTTTTAAGATTCTGTTATAATAATCTCCATTTTGAATATGTGGCTCTTCCCTTCGGACTAGCC